CTCAAAGTTTTCAGTTGGTTTTGAAGTGTTATATTTCTGAGTGGAACCTTTAATTACTCTTCTTATAGTTTTAGAGCATTAACAGAAGATTTAATTGAAATGTAGTAGGCAGGTGGAAGAATAATTAAAAGCAAACCAGTATTAAAGTTTAGATTTATTTTCAAAAGATCACTATTAAAATAGAAAACCATCTAGCATAGGTATATATGTTTGCTTATATGGCTGTTAAATAAAATACAATGAGCACATAAGAGTGTTTCATCTGTCATGTTGACTCCATGTGTAAGGCAATTGCTTTTTTAATCTTGGACATTTGATTTTCCTCTGTTAGCTTACATATTTGTAAATTTCTTTACACAGAGTCTCTATCCCAGACTCACCTATGTAGTCAAGGATAATATTGAAGTTGTGATCCCTACCCCTGGCTGCCATTATTTCCTTAAAGTTGTTTGCCATGCCACCCAGTTGATGTGTATGAAACCATGTTAGGCAAGTAGTCTACCAACTGACCTATATTTCCATGCCAATTTTTTAAAGTACCAGTAAATTAATTGCACTTAGGCATCTGAGAAACATTGAAATTACACACAGTAGTTTTTAGTTTAGATAGGTGATTTGTTTTTCTTTTGGCACAGGATATGATGTAGTCAGGTCATGCTTGAACTTATTACTGCAGTCTTTAAATTCTTTGGGGGCCTACCATGCAGCTGCCAAATCAATACACTGAGATGGATTCTTTCTTACAAATTCCTGGTCTTAGTTTTTCTTGTTTCCAGTCAGCTTTTAACTTAAATTATCCCATCTACCATTTTACTCTTGGCTTTTACCATTCTCTGCTCTATATGTAATTCCCTCCTTACTCCATAGCTGGCTGTGTGGCTATGTGGCTGGCCCCTGGTATCTTCTCTACTCCTTTTCTCTATCCTCATTTTTCTTTCTCCTTCTATTTATTCTTTCTGCCTGGCAGCCCCAGCTATCCCTCTTCTGCCTAAATATTTGCCATTCAGCTTTTTATTAGATCAATCATGTTTTTAGGCAGACAAAGTAACACTGCATTACAGAGTTAAACAAGTGCAACATATTTTTGCATCGTTAAACAAATATTCCACAGTATAAACGAATGTAACACAACTTAAACTATATTCCACAACATACTATATAGTACAGGATGAACACACATTTCTAAGCACTGTTTCCACCTTTCAAGTGCTAAGATCACAAGTATGCTTGATGCTTGAAATCGTGCTTTAAAATAAATACTGTATAGGAGAGACTAAAAATGTTTCACAATTAACTGAAATAAGGTACTTGGGGGTAAATTTTGTGGGAGGAATATAATCTCAAAAGAAAAATGTTGTTCACATAATATTAGCAATAAAGTTCCTATTTTAGTTCCGAAGAATTCTCATTGCACACTTCAGGCTTGCAGGTTTTTTGTTTTATTTTGTTTTTTTGTACAAGGTTTCATGAACGTCAGGATATTCTCAACATGGTATGTACCCAAAGGTGAACTTGGACTACTGATTCTCCACTGCCTTTTTCTCCCAAGTGCTAGGATTAAAGGTGTGCCCCCAGCCACACCTAACTTTAAAGTGCTTATTTTAAAAATACGAGGTCCCAATCCTATACAAAGATCTACAAGCAGCTGAAGAAAGCTTAGAGTGGGAGAAATAGTCTGCTCCAGGATAGAGCACACCAACTGTTTTTTCTATGCCAAATGGTCAGTCCTGAAAACATAAATACAAGTATCATATGGACTGAACAGGTTATACTCAGGAATGTATTAGTATATATATATATATATATATATGCATATATGCATGCAATAACAATTAGTGAGAATAGAGGCCATGAATTTGAGGGATAATGAGGAGGACATATGGGAGGGCTTGGAGCAAAGAAAAAGAAGGGAGAAATGTGAGTATATTATAATGTCAATAAAAAAATCTATATATTGACATTTTATCAATCTTTTAACAGATATAACAAATTACAGCTCTTTAGCTTATAAACACTTGGAACATCCAAACAACCTTAAAAACTTGTTTAATTTTTGGGATGATATTTTACTGCAAGAGTGGATTTTATATTTTATAGAATGTTGGGGTTTGTTTTAATGTTTTTGTATATCTGTTTTCTTAAATCTTTAAAGTTAATACTTCTGAGCAACTTCTTTGAAACAGGGTTGAGCTATGTTGATAGTCTGGCTTTGAAGTTATAAGGACCACACTGCCTTTGCCCCCTGTGCTGCAATTTTGGGTATACACCACCACACCCAGCTCAACAGTGCATTGAAAAAGCCATATAGTGTTTTCAAAAATTACGACACTTCTAATCCAGAAGAGACACAGAGAGGAATCATAAAAATAATGAAATGAAATTCATCGTTAAGCATAATTGACATATCCTAATAAAAACAATTAATAAGAAATTGTTAAACAGCAATCAAAAACTCAAAGTTCAATTATTTCCAAAGTTCTATATTTAAAAGTACAAAAATAAATACTTAAGAAATGCTTGTACTTAAAAAGTTGAAAATAAAGAAAACTCATTGTTTGGGGGTTACAATGATTAAACCTTACCCTAAGCTGCTCAGGTATAGGATCTAAAAATTATGCTCCTATTTATTAAGTACACTGTTTTTTTTATTTCAATAAACTTGGCCATATAGAGAGAAAGCAAAATCCATCTCTCAAAGACAGGTGACAATTCTTGGGCCAGGAAGATCAGAAAAAAAATTATGCTCCTAGATATAAGAAAAAAAAATTATGCTCCTAGATATAAGCACCCACCCCTTGCAAATACCTAATTCATCAAAAGGAAAATGAAAAGCATGCCATAAAAATGAGTGTAATGACAATCTAAGGTGATGGTATAGCAAACAGACTATACACAGGAAAAAAAGAAATGATTTTGAGTTGCCAATATTTGGAGGCCATAAAATTCTTTCAGGTCTATCTTAAAAATGTACTATCTCTAAATTTCTTCTTTCAACACATTTTTAAAATATCATCATCATTCTATAACCATTACCACTACTTAGTGTCAGAAGGTTTTTTTATTCTTTTTGGAGGGAAGATTAGCATACAAAAAATTGGTTTCATTATAGCATTTTCATACATCCATGTTCTAAATTTCTTTACCTTTTTCTATATCTCACTGTTTCCTTCATTTTGACTATTTTTGTTTGAATGTTTTATTAAACCTTTTAAATTCACTTTACACTCAGAGTGAATACTAAATATAATGGACTTAAGTTCTGAGGAAAACACAATGACTTTATATTAAAAGTAATAAAGATATCTCTCAAGTGAGACACAAACTGCAAAAGATGGGGGAAATCATAGATTTACAAATCTGCAAACTATTTTGCTGAGCTTTTGACAGATTGGAAAAAGAATGAAAATTCAAAACAATGCATTTTTGTGCCACTGATATTTTCCTGGAATGAAGAGAACTGATTACTTTACAAAATTACTTATATCTTATACAGTGTTATACTCACATACCTACATTCTAAGAATTGAAATCTAATATTCTCATTGATTTAGATTTTCACTTCATACTCAGTATAAATATAAATATCTATATTTCTACACTCTCTATATTAAAAACAATAAAATTAGTTATAAGGGGGAATACTGCAATGACAAATTAAAAATATGAGAAATAATCCACATTTACTTTAAAGTAATGCTAAGACAAAAGGTAAAATGTCCGAGGAAATTACAGTTGGAAAAAAGTTTATTTGTATAAAGTGCAATCTCAACAACTTGCAATATTTTATTTTTAAAGATTTATTTACTTATTATGTATACAGTGTTCTGCCTGTAAGTATACCTGCAAGCCAGAAAAATGCACCAGGTATTATTACAGATGGTTATGAGCCACCGTGTGGTTGCCGGGAACTGAACTCAGGACCTCTGGGTCATCTCTCCAGCCATCATATTTTACTTTTAAAAAGCTATTAAACATTTTTCTTTGATATTCAGTAGTTAATTTCAAGGTGTATTTAAAGTTATCAATAGAAGATATTTCCAGTTTTGACAGAAATGGGAATCTGAAAGCTAGTCTCAGGCCATAAGAATATTTTTCCCTATAGTAAATGGCATCATTTCCTATTTGAATGTGAATATATACATTAGTTCTGAAGAATTTTGGAAACAGTTCTATCTAGAGATCTTTTCTATAGGATCTTTGAAGATATGATTGTACAACAAAACAAAACTTGTAAAAGATATATCCCTTTTCCTCAAAATTAGCCGAATGACTGCCACATACGAGAAATTTGTGATTCCCAAATTGTTAAGGTTTCACACCAAAAGGATTTGTAGACTGTTTAAATAAACATGAAAGGGCCAGTGCATTCAATAATTGGTCATTAGTTCTATTAGATTTATCACTTGCCTCCTCTCTATCACCTCATTGGTGTTCATTAATGTGTAGCAGCTTTGATTTTTTTCGTAACAGAATAAAAATTTCCTTCCTCTTATTCACAAGACACTAAATATATATATTTTCCTTAGAAAGAAAAGGTATCCATAAAAAACAACTGCACTTTCCTGAAAAAAATAAAAAATGCTCAAATCCTAAATTCTGAGGAAAAAGTTTAAATACAACAATAACAAAGCTAGGCCCATGCAGTTGCTTTTGAAATTCTCTTTCACTATTAATGTGGAGGCTCGGTGTAGATTCAATGGGAGCTTCAAAAAAGCATATAATCAACATCTCAGAACTAATGTTACTATTATTTATAAGTTCAAAGATTTATGTAAGAGATATGTTCATACTGCAAGGCTTTTAGTGTTTCCAAGGTATTTACGAGAACAAATATGACTGTGTGTGGGTATCTCTATTTATCAAAACAGTATTTTTACACTAGGGAAATGAAGCTGAGTATGAAGTTAGAACTTCATACCCTGAATAGTTTTTCTTATATTAAGCAAATATCATTTGTAATAAAAAAGCTATAAATTCAAGTGTAAGACCTCAATACTTACCCTGACTACACTGAAGTCCAGCTTAGTCTCCTGTGCACACTGTAATATGAGCTGAAAGCAATTTTTACTTTGATTTGTCATTCCATTTTCATAATAACGCTGTAAAATCCTTTGTTGTTCTACAGTAAATACAGAACGTAGATTCATCTAAAAATAAAAGAAGATACTCTGAAAATTGGAATAAAAAATTGGGAGGTGTAGAATTTGAACACTTTTGTTTTCTTGATACAATCTCAGTGCTTGTACTGCACAATTTATTTAAATAAATTAATCCTCAGGAATGGGCAGCTATTTGTGTGCTAAAAGGAGACAGCTTCTCCCTGAAAAAATATATACATTTAATTTGCTTAGAAAAGCACAAACATCAAAGTCAGAAACATAGAAAACGAAAAAGAAAAGCAAAAATGAAGCATGTTCTTATCTGGTTAGTGTCAGTACATGGGAAAAACGGTTTTCATTGAAATAAATATTTATGGCTAGTAAAGCCAGAGATGGTGTTAGCCATACACAGTCAATTATCAACAGGGACACTCACTGTTCTTTGTCAAAAAGAGCATCTGGTATATGTCTTAACACTCAGAAGCCATGCTCAAAAACAAAGGGAACTTTTTTTCCTCACTCTGTGATATAAGGAGTTTTATTATATGTTTAAAACCCTCTCTTTTTAATGTTTTCTTTGTTTTGTTTTTGCTCTTGAGATAGGCACTCAAGTAGCCCAGGCTGATCTCCAATTCCTTATCTTCCTGCTTCTACCAAATGCTAGATTTACAGAGGTTCACAAACACCCGTAGCTCAACAAAACATTTCATTACAAATTAGAAACAGAGTAGGGGGGACTAATAACCATGAATGTGCCTTTGCTTTGTATAATACTAACCAAACTAATTATATTAATAACTATAGTATATAAATGAAAATTTAAGATCAGTTTAACTTACTAAAATCCAGTGGAAACTCTAAATTGACACCATCAAAATTAGACAGTTTACTTTCCCTGCCAACTGATAAGATATTTAATCCAAAGGGCTAAGAACTTTGTGTATTCCACAGGTAAATGACAGGGCAAACTCTACTTTTAAAAGGATGAATTATAGTCACACAATGATTTTCCTGAGCAAAGTAGTTCTTTAAAATAAGGAAAACTGCCACAACAAAACAAACTCAGTCAAACTAAATATTTTTCCTAGTATACAATGTATTAAAACAATCAAGTTCATTAATATGAAAATACAAATTATTTTACCCTACTCTGAATACTTATAACAGTAAATATATCCAATAAAAATCGAGGAACTATAAAGTGTAACCATATACTATAGTATGTTATTGTTATTTTTTTTACTTTCTTTCTTCCTTGCTCACACAAGCCCTTCCCTAACTGTTAAGAGATTTGATTAGAGAAAATTAAATATGAGAGGCCACAAGAGAAATAAGAGTAGACTATCTCAGGAACATTTAGAAATAAAGACCTCCATTAACTTTCTGAAGGAGAGTTTTGAAGGATATTCAGTAATGTGGATGTCAACTTGACCAAACACTCAAGGATGATTGCAACAGTAGGTAGGGAGAGTATCCATCAAAACAATTTTGACTATTATGGCTTCCAACTCTTGAGTTTATCTAAATGGCTCAACTACAAGCAGAAGATGATCCAGATGATGGAAGTCAAATACCTGAAATACCTTATCTGATTTAGAAACCAGGTATCATGCAATGGATTCTGACAGTGGAAAATTTCAAATTATAAGTGCATAATTAGGATAATCACTCTGATCCTTTCCTGTGCAGCTATACCTACAGCAAAAGCCTAAACTGCAGGATGCAGGTGATATCCAAGTGTGAGGATACCTCTCTCGAAATGCAGGATGGACTATTATCCTATTGACTGGCTGCAATCATTACACTTACCCAAATACAACATGACCCTTACAAAGAATATCAGGACTTCTCCACTGATAACCAATATTCAAATGTAAGAGACTGAGCAGCAAATATATCTATAATTCTGGTAATAGGAAATGCTAAGGAATGTTTAGTCTTTCCCTTAAATTCAGCACTAATAGCAAAAAGACACTTTGATCAAAGGAGCTATTTTTCTTTCAAGTTACATAAATTCATTCTTTACTGTAACAACTAGATAACCCATCTGGACAAGATATCATTATATCTATGCATACTAGCTTTGTTTGTCTACCTTAAATAAACACACAGCCAAATTTCTTAACCATTTACAAAGCAATAACAATTAGAAATAATCACTTTATTTAAAAAACAAAACAGCATGTCATCGGTTATAGTCATTGAATTAGCATGGAATGGAAAGATGGTTGGAATTGGGTGACTAACTATCGAAATCACAAATCATTTAGCCTTACCTCAAGATTTTCTAGTCTTATGTTCTATGCATCTCCCAGCCACCCAGCACACACCAGACTATGGGTATAAGGTAGCCTAAATGCTACCTAAGCTGAAATGCTTACTATTCAGTAAATAACTTCATTTCCTTGAGCACACTATTCTTGGTGTGTAAAATGTTGGGTTGCAATATTTGCCTTGCCTACTAATTAATCTCAGTTCCTACAAAACAAAAAATTCAGTTCACTTTTCTCAAGTTTTAAGCCATATGCTTTCAAATGCAATATTCAGTGAACGGTAAGATTACTTCATTTCCTCATCTGCATTTGTTACTGTCAAGATTACTGAAAATGTGGTCAGTAGGAATATAATTTGTAGATTGTTATGGTTACATTACTTGGTATTTTTCTTGTGCTAAAGAGAACATGAACTCGTGCACTCATTTGTCATCTGTGTATCTTGTTTGTATAAGTATCTTGTTCAAATAGTTTCCAAATATTAGCTGCTTTTTAAATCATTATTGGGTTTTCAGTGTTCATTATATATACTGGGTTATATATGCTTTACCAGAAATATTGTCTTAAGGGCTATCTTCTTATAAGATATCATTTTATTAAATTAGTATTTTAAAAATTATTTTATTTTAATATTATTTTTAGTTGACTGTTTTTTCATGAGTGAGAGAAAAAATGAAATTGATTTGGACAGGAGGGGATGTGGGGGAAGATCTTGGATGAGTTGGGGAATAGAAAACAGTAATCAGAATATATTGTATGAAAAACCTTACTTTTAATTTAAAAATTAAAAATCAAGTAACAAATTTGAGATGGAGTAAGGGGCTGGGGCCCTAGAGGTGTTGGAAGAAGGAAATGTGGGATGAGTTGATGGGACAAGAAGGAAGCAGGGAATATTATAATTATATTTTTATATTTTAATTAACATTCAAATATATTTCACAAAGCCGGAGTTTCAATTTTGATGAAGTCTATTTATGTTTTCCCCTCTTATTAATTGTGCTTTTTATACTAATTATGCTTAAATTGGACCATTCTATATCCAATACCTTTTCACATGAAATTTGGAATTAGTTTGAATTCTGCTGTGATTGTGTTTGCAATTATACTGAAAAAAAATAGATCAGCTTAATTAAATTCATTATGTTAATATTATTATGTTTCTTCATTCATTAATAAATTTAGTTACATTTTGATTTCTGATATTTCAGTAACATTTCAGCCTTGTGTTTGATTTTAGAGGGAGGGATTAAAATTAAAATTTTCACCATTCAGTTCAATGTTATTTGTAGATTTATCAGCATTACGCTTACTAGGTTAATAAAATTTCTTATATTTGTATTAAATGAAACATCATCATCATCAGTGGGCACTTAATTTTTCATGTCTTTTTGCATATCTGTTGAGATGAAAATATTTCTTGTCCTCTAATATTTTGACATGGTAAATTTTGTATTTAATTTGTAATGGTAAACCTGACCTCCAAGTTGTGGTTTATTCATTTGTTTTTTTATATATCACTTGAGTTGATTTGTAAATATTTTTATCATAATTTTGAGTCCACATTTTTAGGGATATTTGTGGTTCCGTTGTGCTCTATTTAGGGTGGGTACTAAACTAATGAGTTATGAAACAGGTTTTTAAAATATATTTTCTAAAAGAGATTATACAGAACTGCTCTACTTTGTCTTAACTACCAAGTAAAATTATGGAGGGTCAACTCAAAGGATAAAGGTACTTTCCACCAAGCCTAATAATGACCTGAGTTAAAGCCCCAGGACCTACCTTGTGCAAAGAGAACTGACTCCTGAAATCTATCCTTTAACTTCCACATATGGACACACACACACACACACACACACACACACACACACACACACACACACACACACACTGTCATCAATGTGAAGCCTTAAACTGCAAATCACATTTCTGTATTAGCTAAGTTTAAGTGAGTTTTGGTACTGTGGGTCATTCCAGGAATTTGGATCATTTAATCTAAATTGCTAAATTTAAAAGTGTGAATTTATTTACTACATTTCCTTTATATTTGCATAATGACTAGAATCTGCCATGCTTTACCTTTTCCCTACTTGGTATTGGTAATGTGTTTCTTTCCTCTTACTTGTGAGCTTGGCAAGAAGATTATCACTTATATTGATCCAAAAGAGCTAGTTTTTCATTTCATTGATTTTGACAACATTTTCCTGTCCTCATTTACATTTATGCTTAATTTCTGCTGTAACTCTTTCCTGTTTACTTTATTCTGGCTTGTTTGGACTCAATACTATTTTACACAGGTTCTTAAAAGAACTTATACCATTGTTTTGAAATTTATTTTTCACAAATACAAGCAATTTTGTTACACATTTCTACTTCTATGTAACATTTCACTCATGTACGACAAATTGTAATAATTTAAAGTTGCCATTCAGTTCAAAGTATCTTCAAAGTTCCTTTGTTTATATTTTAATTAACATATCTAGGTATTTTTTTGTCTGGTATTGATTTCTACTTTGTAAGCAGAGAAAGTACTTTGAGCTACATAAAAAGGGGAAACTTTGTCCATATATGGTCATTTCTCTAAATTCTAACTTCCTTCCCAATCTTCTTGCTTTTGTTTATTTTTAAAATTTATTGGGAAGTTAGTGAATTTTTAATTCTTTTGTGTTCTCTCTTACTAAATGTACCATGTACATTTAAAGGACTAAGTATTGTATTGTATGAATGTTTTTTAAAAATGTCAATTAGGTTACATTGGCTCATTGTATATTTTAA